ATCCACACTACCCTAATTCCGACCCGCAAAGGCCGGTTTTATTGCTAATCCCCTCGTCGGAGGTGGTGTAAAGAAACCGGTTTAAAGGACCCTTTAAGTCGAAAGAAAGGGCTTCGTCGTGTGGACGTGTCCAGGCTTAATTCGATTTAACGCTGCTAAAGTCGACCTAAACCCGTAGTGTAGACCAGGCCTACGGGTGTAATCAGTTTCTTAATATATTAGGCTTAGACTTATGTGTTTTGTTTTATTTTGCTTTGTGACTTACTTTGTCCTGGCTGTTATTACTTGAAACCACTTAAATGCTACTTTTTATACTTAATAAAATCACTTTTGTTTATTAGTAAGATATTAATACCTGGGGGAGCAAACAGCTGTGCATATCTCTCTATCAGTGTTATAGAGGGCAGACAATTTATGAATTTACCCTGTATAAGCATTATACAGATTAAACGGATTTATTTGGGGTTTGGATCCCATTGGGAGCTGGGTGTCTGGGTGCTGGAGACAGGTAACCTGCTGAGCTGTTTTTAGTTAGTCTGAAGCTTTGGGGGCATGTCCCAGACCCTGGGTCTGTGTTGCAGCAGGCTAGCGTGTCTGACTCAACAAGGCAGGGTTCTGGAGTCCCAAGCTGGTAGGGAAAACAGGCTCAGAGGTAATTTCAACACATTGGATGACAGTCCCAAGGGGATCTCTTTGACCGAACCCATCACACCAAGCTAGTCTAGAGGAAGGCAGGTTGATAGCTATGTCCATACTTCAGGCCATGGTTGATTCAGCAGACACATCCTCGTGCATTTTGGCAACTGGAATTGTCATGAGGAGGGAATCCTGATTCAACTCCTCTGGCTTCCATAGAGAAGTGCAGAACACGATCAAAGATGTCCCTTTTGACGAGTCACACCTGTTCAATCAAAAGATGGATGACTCGTTGCACTCGCAGAAAGATTCTAGAGCCACCTTGTGATCATTAGTCATTTACACGTCCGCATCAAAGTGAAAGCTGTATTGCCCACTGCCACGCAATGTTACAGAACTCCCCAATTTTACCACCAACGGGCCTACAAACCTACACACAAACGCCCCAAGGTTCACAGACCCCGTCCATCTGTTTCGACAGCGCAGTCCTCCATACAACACACTCAGTCTGTGTGTAAACAGTATTTCTGATTATGACCAGAGACCCATTATCCACACTGCACACACTGGCCTTGCCAGTCACTCCTTTTGTGGGCAGTCTCAAACTCTTTTTGCCAGCATGGAGCGGGATTACAATGGACAGGTGGGTTCTGAATGTCTTTCGGTGCAGCTACACTATTAAGCTTATGATGCTACGTCCCCCACCCCGCTCCTGTTCCAAGGATCATTCTCATGACAGTTTTCTTGCCCTAGAGGTGGACTCCCTCCTGCAAAGAGGAGTGGTGGAGCCAGTTCCTACACCCCTCCAAGGCACAGGGTTCTACTCCAACTATTTCTTCGTACCCAAGAAGACGGGAAGATGGAGACCAATCTTGGATCTCTAATGCCTCAACCAATACATTTGGAAACCAAAGTTCCACATGGTATGCTTTCGGCAATCATTCCCTCACTATAAAAAGGTATGTAGTTTATGACACGCGATTTGCAGGATGCTTGCTTCCATATCAACGTACATGCAACCCACAGACTATTCCTGAGGTTCATGGTGGGTCCTCGGCACTTTCAATACAGAGGTCTCCCATTTGGACTTATCATTTCCTCATGAGTCTTCACAAAGGTTTTCTCTGTGGTAGCAGCTTATTTCTGACCACGAGGAATCCTTGTCTTCCCTTACCTAGCAGCCAATTGTCTGACGGGCGATCCAGAACAGAAACTAGAGTGTCAGCATCCCAGCTTCTTCAAGTATTGGTCCTTATTGTATTCAACTGAGGAGGATTAACAAGCAGTATGTAGGTAGGAGGAGGATGTAAAGAAGATGATGGAATTGTGGAACGGAGGGCCGCCATGCCGAAAGAGGCGTCTGTCACAGAATCATGCACTAGGGCATAGAGAGAAGAAAAGGCGGGTACCGAACTCCATGTGACCGCCTTACATATATCTGTGATGGGGCACGTCATGGAGCGCTGCAGCAGCTAATGCCTGCGCTCTTGTGGAATGTGCCCCATCCCACCTGCTGGGGACCATCCCAATAATTGATAGCAGAGCGTAATGCACTCTGAGACCCACTTCGAGTGTCTCTGGTGGGAGATGGCCTGCTCTTCAATTCTCTCTGGTATGGCAACACATAGTCTGGGAGACTTCCGGAATGGCTTTGTCCTTTGCAGGTAAATGGCCAGGGCCCTACGTACATCGAGGGAGTTGAGTTGTCATTCTGCACTGGAGGCGTGTGCTTTGGGGAAGAAAATGGGCAAGTGTATGGGTTGGTTGAGGTGGAAACGGAAAACGAGCTTTGGTAGGAACCTGGGATGCAGGTGAGACCCTGTCCTTATGGAATGTGGTGAAAGGACGGGTTGCTAGCATAGCCCCTTAACCCAGTTCATTAACCCTCCTTGCAGAGATAATGGCGATCAGAAAGATGACTTCCATAGAAAGAAGAGAAAGGGGGCAGGAGGCCAAAGGTTCAAAGGGGAAGTTCATTAATGATGGGAGGACTAAATTGAGGAGCAACAGCCTGGATGGGTGGGTATTTGCATACAAGGCCCTTCCAGAACCTGGCAGTTAAGGGGCGGGTGAAGACAGAATGTCCATCCATGGGAGGGTGGAAGGCACTAATGGCTGCTACATGCATTTTGATGGAGTTGAGAATGAGCCCCTAGGTCTTTAGAAAGAGCAGATGCCCATGGCCTCTGGGGCAAGACCTCTATGTTGGGCCCAGGTAATGAAACAAGCCCATTTGGCCTGATAGGACTACCTTGTGGAACTACCTCTGCTATTGGAGAGAATTTCTCAAACCGCCTGCGAGCATTTGTGTGTTAGCGGAGGCATCCATCCGAATACCATGCTGTCAGGTGGAGCGCCCTCAGATCAGGGTGTCTGAGTCCACAGTTATGTTGCCTGAGTAGTTGCAGGAACATTGGGAGTGATGAACACTGACATGTGGAGAAGAGGAGGAAACCACAACTGGTGAGGCCAATATGGGGTGATCAGGATGACCATCACCCCCTCCCATCTGAGATTGTATAGAATGCCTGGCAGGGACATTAATGGAAGGAAGGCATAGTTGATCTGGTCTGACCAGTTGATGATCAGGGTGTCCTTCTACGAGTGGGTACTGAGTCCTCCCCTCAAACAATACTTGGTATTGGTGTGAGATGCAAAGAGGTCCCTGATGGGTTCCCCAGTGGCCGAAGATGTCTGCAACTATCAGTTTGCAACTGACCACGAATGGGAGTTACACAAGTTCCTGCTGAGAGCATTGGCAAGTACATTCTGGGTTCACGGTAGGTAGGCTGCCGACAGGAGGATATGATGTGAAATGCACCATTTCCACAGTGGCAAAACCGCAGTGATGTTGTCTGACATGAAAAAAACAGACAGCTGTTAAGGACACATGGCACGCCTTGTGTACCATACAAGGTTCCCGGATGTTGATGTGCACCCTGGTTTCCTGAACGTTCCAAGTGCCTTATGTCATGTGGGTGCCCCAGCCTTCGAGCGACACATCTGTTATAATTATAACGCTTGGCAAGGATGGAAGAAAGGGCATTCTGGAGCAAACATGGAATGGGTTTGTCCACCATCGGAGGGAAGAGAGGACTCCACAGTTCCACCGGGTGTCCATGGACTGGTGCATGGGGGAGTAAACTCCCTGTAGCCAGAGCTGGAGACATCAGAACCACAGATGAGTGAAGGGCATGACATATGTGCACACTGCCATCTGACCAAGGAGGGAAAGGCAAGTTCTGGCTGATATTGAAGGGCTGGAGGTCACTAAGGTGAGCAGTAAGCTCAGGAATCTTGTCTTTTGGCAGATAAGCACAGGAGGCCTCATCAATGTGTGCTCCTATGAATTCTAGGGATTGTGTAGGATGCAAAGTCGATTTTTCGATGTGGATGCTCACTTCTAGGGAGGAGAATGGGAAGTTACTTGTAACTGGGGTTTCTTTGAGATGTATGGTCCCTACCTGTACTCCAAACCCACCCTCCTTCCCCTCCACTGCGGATCTGTAGATCTGTGGTGGAAAAAGAACCGAAGACGCGAACCCATAAGGAGCCAGGAGCGTGAAGAGACTGACGGAGCTCTCTGAATCTATTTGGCTTAACACAGACACGGTTCAGGGGTGACTTGGGAAACAAATATTTAACAATATGTTCTTCAATCTAGCCACAAAAGGTAAGATCTAGTGACTGGAAGCTGAAGCTAGATAAATTCAGACTGGAAATAAGGAGTAAATTTTCCACTGAGGGCAATGCGCATGCGAACAGAGCTACTTTGAAAGCTACAGCTCTGTGCACATGTGCATCGCCCTCAGTGGAAAACAGACAGGGACCATCCATCTCAAAGAATCTCCTGTTACAGGTAAGTAACTTCTCCTTTTGATTGAAAAATTGCCAGTGATGGAGAATCCAGCATGACCCTTGGTAAATTGTTCCAATGGTTAATTACCTCACTGTTAAAAATTTACTCCTTATTTCCAGTCTGAATTTATTTAGCTTCAGCTTCCAGTCACTAGATCTTACCTTTTGTGGCTAGATTGAAGAATATATTGTTAAATATTTGTTTCCCAAGTCACCCCTGAACCGTGTCTCTGTTAAGCCAAATCGATTCAGAGAGCTCAGTCAGTCTCTTGAGTTGCTGACTTGAAACGTGGCAGCTCTTTGTTCCGGGTGTACTTGTATTGGTAACTGAACCCTTGTCGCTTCCCTGGGATACAGCTTTTCCTGTTGACTCTGTTTTATCTCTCTCCCCAGATCCATTACCTCCGGCTCACCATTGCAGTCCTGAAGCACGAGAAGTCCAGGAAATATCTGCTCAACAATGTCCTGTATCTTTTGCATTTACTCCCATTCCGACATACCCTCTAGAAAATCCAGTCAGTTTCCTCTCCCTGGGTGCCCTGTGTTCTGAGGCGAGTCATGCTGGGGCCTTCTTGTATCTGCAGGAATGGCTGGTACCATTCTCCATGGAACCTCACTTTTGAAGAAGGGAGGGGAGCTCTCCAGACTGTGCTGCATCCTGTTGCGTTCTTTCTCCTGTCCCATGCCCTGCTTCTCTCTGTCTATGCAAACCCCACACTCTATATCCGTTAGCCGACTCATGGAGTGAAACCACAGAGAATTCACCAAAGCAGCTTTCACAGCAATCAGCCCCCCCCCCCCGGCACCCAGCCTGTCCGTTTCAGTGGGATCCCCCCAGTTTCCAAGCACCTCATGAAGATGGATTCAAGAGTTTGTTTGGAAAGGTGCCTAACCTCTAACCCCATCTTAGCGGTGGGGTTGCTTTTCCCTCCTCTGGGGCTCTTTGTATGGCTGACCTCCTGTGCGTGCTCCCAGCTGAGCTGCTGGGCTTCTCACTTAACTCCCGCACAGCTTCGACTTACTCCGCTCAGTGGTGTTCTTCTACATCAAGAGCCCCCTGCGTGTGGAGGAGGCTGGCCTGCAGGAGCTCATCCCCACCACCTGGTGGCCAAACCGCTTCACCAAAGAGGTGTGCAATGACATGCCTCTGCTGGGAGTGGGAAAGATGCCTGGCCTGCCCAGTAGGGTGTGTGTGTGTGTGTGTGTGCGATCATAGAGTGAAGGCCTAGCTGTGCTGCCAGCTGGCTAAGTAGGTGAAGCTGACTGCTTCACCTGGTGTCTGGCTGAGACCTGAGGCAGGCATGATGGTGGCAGGCTGGGAAAGGCATAGCTGCCTCCTGCTACGGGGTGCCCCATTATCTGGGACATGCTTGCACTTTGTGGCTGGGTTAGATAGCCAGGTAGCCATGCCGACTGGGATGGGTTTTCAGCTGTGTCTGGCCCGGATGTTGTGGCCATTTCTTTCTATGTGGGGACCTCTGTCCCCTCCAGACCAGACTGCTGCAGTGTGGTGTTCAAGGGTGTGGAGTCAGAACGATGGGTAGCAATCCTCCTCCATGATCAGAGCACTTGACACCAAAGGTTGGTATCCTCCCGTTTGACAGAGCCAGGGACTGGCCCAGCGACAGCATGGCAGTCCTGGGGATAGAACCCAGTTCCTGGGTCCCAGGTCGTTGCATTGTTATTGACACGTTCTGGCAGCACCTCAGGGCCCTGTTGGGGCCCATTGTGCCAGCGCTGTACAAACACGGTCCCTATCTGGAGAGCTCAGTCTGCCGGGCACGGACGAGCCAGGCGCTGGGGCTGGAGAGTTGCCTGAGCGACTTAGGCGTGGTAGGGATGGTCCCGTTCGTAGTTGGGCCTTTGTTTGAAAGGTTGCGGGGGGTGGGGGGGAGCGAGGGAGAGTCCCAGCACAGCACCTATTGAGTGGCATCCCCAGGCCGGTTCTTGCAGCACCACAGTGGTGTGGAGACGCGAAAGGTGCAGTTTTGAGGGGGTAAAGGCAGTGGCTGGCTGGGGCTTCTGTGAGGTGTGGGAGGAGCTGACAGGTGGGTGATGAAGGCTGGGGATGTTGGTGGAGTGGAGGCAGGTTGACGCCCCTGTACACTGCTGGGGAGGTGATGAGCCATGTTGGATGTGGAGATGACTGGGGCGTGCAGGGTTTGGTAGGGGTGAGAGGGAAGAGCAGTGAGTCAGGAAGGTGACTGAGCTGCCTGCTCTGCATGGAGCCCAGGGGAGTGAGGGGCCAGAGCCAGCCAGGAGGAGGTGGCAGCACCAAGGAGCGATACTCTGGGTGTGGCAGAGTGTGAAGAGGAAGCATCAGGGTTTGGACATGGCCTGAATGCTGGGTCCAGTAAGAGGCGGAGTCAGCGAGCGACCTGGTTACGGGCCCAAGTGATGGGCAGGAGTGTGGTGGCTGGGGAGGAGGTGGTTTTGGGAGGAAGGTCCAGTGCTGCCCACTAGCCCCTGCTGTCTCTGGGGTTAAGGGCAGTGAGTACCTTGCTGTGACCCTGTGCCAAGGAGCTGCACTGGCTGCTGACTGGCTTCTAGGTAGGGACTGGGGGCTGTTAGCTCCCAGAGCTGCCTCTCTCTGCCTGGCATGCAGCTGCGATCGACAGAGGAGCCCCAGCAGGATGCTGGCAGGGCATTCTCTATGGAGGTTAAAATAGCTCACAGTGACTGAGCTGCTGTCTGCTGTCTCCTGCTGTCAGCTGCTGGGGACAAGCTGGGTGGGGTGTCTGTCTGCTGGGGTGAAGTGGGGTGGGCTTGGCTGAGTCTGATATGTAGATGATGTGTCAAAAGCACCCTGAGCTGGAGAGAGAGCGAGATTAACTAGGGAGATGAGGCTGGGGGCTCCTGGGAAAGGAATGGTGTTTCGCGGGGGGGGGAAGAGACAGAGCTGGGTCACTCTGCGGGACAAGGCACTAAAAGCAGGGCTCTAACAAGGCAGCTGCTGCTTCCTTCTCCCAGCCCAGTGGGACTCAGCAGCTGCCAGCCCCCCAGCTCAGTGCTGCTTGTAGGCTCCTAGTTCAGTATCTGAAGAACGTTGGAGAGGATTGCAGGGGGTGGCAGCCCTGTTCCCTTGCTGACCTCTTGACACTTTGAGGTGCAGTCCACTGGCTGGGTAGGCAGGGGAACCCCCTGGCTGTTCTCACATGAGAACTGGCAGATCTGTGCTGTATCCTCTGTGCGCCAAGGGCTCCCAACCCCTCCACTGCCATCTGTCACGGTCTGACCTGGGTTGTGTGCTGCTGCGGGGTGGGGGCAGGTATACCTTACAGGAGGGTAAGGGGCAGGGCTTCCCTCCCAAGTTGTTGTTGCAATTCTGCGGGGTTGTCCAGTTGCTCTCCACCCCTCAGAGGTCTGGCACTGTGGCAGGGGCGTGGCTCTGAGCAGGGTGGCTCCTTCCTGGCTCCCGTGTCTAATGGGGGACCTGTGACACTCCAGGGAGGGCTCCCAGCTTGGCCGCCAGCTGCCAGGCCGCTCGCTCTCCCTGGGGAGGAAATGCCGCTGTCCCTCTGTGGTGCTGGGCTTGGTGTGCCGGTCCTGGGCTGGGGTTAACTGTCGACCACCCTCTCACCCCAGGGCAAGGAGAGCAAGGAGGTGAAGGAGGAGAGTGCTGAGGAGAGGCTGCGCCGGCGGGCATATGACAGAGGCTGCCAGCGGCTCAAAAAACGCATTGAAGGTCTGTGAGGGGGTCACTACTGGGGGACCAGCGCCTTGTAGAGCCGTGTGGCGAAATGCACTCACATCATCACAGAACAGGTATCTGAGCTGCCTCCAAGTGCCCTTGGCAGCGAGGAGACAGCTGCGCGCCCATGTGTGCCGAACTGGTCAGTGTTCCCATGGCCGCGCAGTGGGAGCCGGGGGCCAGGCCGAGAGGGCCCAGCAGCCATGGACAGTGCCGTGCTGGCCTGAGCATGCCTTCCTGACTCCTGGGGGGCAGTCTCTGCCCGTGGCATGGGGGTGAATGGGCTCTGAGCTCTCAGGGCACTTCCTCTGATGGCTGACTTGTGTGTCCCTTTCTCAGTGGTGGAAGAACTCCAGGTTCAGATCCTGAAGCTGCTTCTGAACAACAAAGACCGAGGAGGGGTAAGTAGAATGGAAACACCTTGTGGGCCCCTCTAATGCGGCATCCACGGACTGCAGGGCTTTCAAGGCAGAGCTGCTCAGCCTTTCCCCACCCAGGGCTACTTCTGCCATACCATACCAAGCACCCCCAGTCTTGGATGCGGAGAGGCAGCCTTGGAGAGGGCAGCGGTCCGTGTTGATCTGTGCAGGCAAGCTGCATTGCTCCCTGAGCCGTGGACTCTGTGTTAAGGGGGAGTGGAGGATCTCTGAACTGCATTTTCTCATTCTGTGAGTCACCTGCTTTGGCCCTTGGTGTCCAACACAGAAACCAGAGCTCTTCCCTCGTGCTGAATTTCCTTCCTCTGTGGGATTCTAGTGATATGTTAGCCTGCACCCCGTTGGTATGTGGCCTCTAAAAGCCTCTGCACATGTGCATTGCATACTGTGTTCACAATAACTGGCCACACTGGCAGATCCCAGCAGGGTCCTACTGACTAACCCGCACTCACATCAGGAGGCACTGATGATATTGGCAGGAAGGTGGAGTGGGTACTGGCCCTGCTAAGCCTAGCTCCCAGGTTACTTAGTGGCACTTGTTAAATTGCTGTCTAAATGGCAACAGAACATAGCTGTCCATAGGTCACTGGCTCCGTGGGGAGGGACCAAGTGTTGTTCTCAGGACATTGGTGCCAGTGGTGCGGGATGCATGTCTGCAGTGGGAATAGCTTGGTCTGCCTTGGTGCAGGCCAGAAGGGGAGCTGGGAGGGAGAAGTGGAGTGTACCGGGCATGCAGACTAGCACGAGAAGACTTAAAAGGTCCCCAAAGATGAAACTGGCCCTTGTGCAGAGGGTTTTGCCAAGGCCTGTGTGGCACTTGATTCCCAAGGGGTTTCTGGGGGTGAATTTTGGGCCAGGTGAGCAGAGCAGTCCCAAAGCAGAGAGAAGAGCACAGGGGATTCTCACAGCTGGGTAAGCACCGCTGTTCTTTCTCCTGGCAGGGGGAAGCCTCCAGATACATCTTCCTGAACAAATTCCGCAAGTTCCTTCAGGAAAATGCTAGCAACCGAGGGGTAAGTCGTGGCGCCAGCCCTCCTGTGAGGGGCCAGTGTTGTTCTCCAGTGCCTCCAGACTGGGCAGCCCAGCCCTGCACCAATATGAGCTGGCTGCGTGGCTGCACTGGGCCCTCTTGGCACAGGAAAGGATTGGCACAGTGACTGTCCAGGGGATAGAACCCAGGGGATTCAGCTCTTCCCCCTGTAACTGCCAGGCGTGCTGTCCTCCAGAGTGTGGCTTGCGCACGCAGCATGCACTGGGGCGGGACGGGTGCTGGGGTTGAGGCAGGCTGTGGGGAGGAAGAAGCCAAATGTTTTAACCCCTCTCCCAGCCAAGGTTCTCATCCCTTTAGGACCCCATTGCTAGCCCCTCACAGGGAGAATATGACCCTACCTTCACTCAGGCACTGAGAGCAACACGCCGTTAGGGGCATGTTGGGTCTGTTGGGCAGGTGCTGTTGGAAGGCAGACAGCATGGTGATAGCTGGAGGTGCTCGCGGCCCTGCTGTGATGCTGCCGCTGTCCTCACCTTCCCAGGCTGGACCCACTCGAGGGTAGTGAAGGGAATTGTGCCGCTGTCAATGATACAAAGCTGCCTGGTTCTTGCAAGAGGCTGTTTGTGATACCCTCATAGGCTCAGCACCCAGAAGGGATTGTCATCTTGGGACACAGCCTGTGTCTGCCCCAGCCTTCCCCTCTGATCTCATGGCTGCACAGGCCCCAGTGCAGTCCCACTACAGTAGCTGTGGGGGATACTAGTGTAGGTGGAGCATTGGCGCTTAACCCTGGTCAGAGCATCTCTGGGGACAAGATATCAGTGACTAGCCAGGGTGCTAGGGTTAGTGCTTTCTCGCTGCTGCCGGTGGTGGAGCTGCTCCACAGTTAGTGCAATGGTGGGAAATTTGGGAGAAAGCCAGTGCAGCCCTAGCTCCAGGGAACCCCAGCTGGCAGCCTGCTTCACTTGCTGCTGTTGAAGGTCTCCGTGATGCTAGTGGTCACAGCTAACTCTGTGCTAGGTATTTGTGCTCTTCCCCACTGCATGGTTACGTTATTTAGCAGCTTGCCTTCTCTGCCACTGAGAGTGCCCAGCTGGCGTTCAAACGTTTGTCTGCTAGCATGCCTTCAGGCCAGCGGGCTGGCCCAACACTCAATTTTGTGATGCCACCTGGCGATGCCATGGGGAGGGGCACTGCGAGAGGCTGCTGCCTTCTTGGGGAGGTGCTGTGTGCTGGGGCTGGGCTCTGCGGCCAATGCTCCACGCAGTCTGCAAGACAGCAGAGTGTACAGAGTGGGGCTGGGAGCAGAAAGTCCAAGCCGTGCTGCTGCTGTGACTGCCAAGTGTGACCCTCCCTCACTGTCCGCTCTGCCGCCCCCTCCAGAACCTGACTGTACTGTGCCCGCCAGAATACATGGTCTGCTTCCTGCATCGACTCATCTCCACCTTGCGCTGCTACTGGGACGGGCACAAGGCCAAGGCTCCTGCAGCCCTGAACAGTGAGGGTAAGGCCTCTCTATGCTCCAGCAATCAGCAGGGGAGCGGCGTTGCCGTGGAGAGCCCGCTACACTGGGGGTGGGAACGGGATGGGGCCTGGCTGCTGTTTTCCAGGAGGTTGGACACTTGAGCTCCGTTCAGGAGCCAGTGACCTTTCATGACCCTGCAGCCTGGGAACCTTTACACTTGGGCAGTGGTGCAAGTAGAAATCATTTTTTGCTGGTACGCTGCACTTATGGGAGGGACACAAAAGGGGGGGGGCACGTGACCTCCCACATGACTCCTCCCTGACCCACTCCCAGCCCAGGGCCCCATGCTCTCCCCATCCCTTCCCCATGATCCACATCCATCCCACATTACCGGGGGCGGGGCGGTTCTGTCCTCCTCCTGCTGCACTGGAGGCTTCTGCTGTACAGGTCTGTCTCATTTTACGCTGGGGTTACATTCTGCGGTCAGCGCGTAAAGTGAAAACCGTGTATAGTCAAAATTACATTGAGTGTAATGGCGGGCGGAATTGCCTGCACTACAGGAACAGTATTTTAAATTGTTATTTTTCTTTTTTGTTTTTGTTTTGTTTTTTTCCGACCGCATAAAGCTGAATTTGCACATGTTAAATGCCCATAAGATGTGACAGACCCGTACAGACCCCAGTCAGGAAGACTAAGGAGATGCAACTGTGTGGAAGGGCTAGGGGCAGTACAGCCGCACTGGAGTAAGCTGCCGGCATTCTCCTTTCACTGCTGTGGTTCCTAGGGGATCAGGGCTTTCTGGAACTGCAGCAGCGAAAGAAGCAGAAGAACGTGGGGCCGCTGGGCAGCCCCCTGCTGGCAGCTCCTCCGGCATGGCTGCTGTACTGCCCCCAGCCCTTCCACGCAGCTGCATCTCCTGAGTCGTCCAGCCTGGGGTCTGTACAGCAGCCCCGCCAGAGGACGGGGCTGGGAGGGGGCATGGCTGGTGGCGGTACAGCCACGCGGGAGGAGCTGATGGCGTTCAGTTCCTTTTCCCTGCTGCGGTTCCCAGCAGGGAAAGGAACAGAACGCTGGCAGCTCCTCCGGCAGCTGTACCACCCCCAGCCCTGTCCTCCGGCGGGGCTGCTATACAGAAGGAGGAGATGCAGCTACGTGGAAGGGCAGGGGGCGGGGCTGGGGGTGGGTTCCTCCTCTGTCTTTCCGGTATGCAGTACCAGCTGTAAATATCTTACTGGTACGGCATAATGAACTGTACCACTGCACTTGGGACTTGGCAACACCTGGGAGGTTACTGGCATTGCTAATGTGGGATAGTGCTCCACCCAGGTAACGCCACTGTGCACACTCACTGTTTCGGAATGGTCCTTCTGAGGACATGACTCCGTAGCTCTGCCACTCAGGTTCCTCACACAGACCAGCCCTCCGAGGGGAGTGGATGGGCTTGTCAGAGCCCTGAAGTGCAGGATGAACAGCACTATCTGGCCAGTGGGGCCTGTGCTAGCTGCTTTTACACCCTCTATCCCAGCATCATCTATTCCCGTCAGTCCTGGCCTGCCGCACCCTGCTATTCCAGCCTTAGCCCCGCCTCCCAGCTCTGTCCAGCCTGGAATTGGTCAGGAGCACCCCACTGTGTGGCTTGGTGGTTGGAGTGTGTTGCTAGGAACTGGGTGGACACCTGCCCCACTCGTGGAATGAGTAGGCTGTCGAGGACAAGGCACCTGCAGGGGAGCAGTGTGTGGCCAGTCAGGGCTCTGAGTGCCCTGGCTCTGTGCACGTGTGGGTGTGTTCCTCTCTGGAAACCAACTCTTCCAGAGTGGATTTGTGACACATCTGCAGGGCTGTCTGGCTCCCCAGGCTGGGGCCAGTGCTTAGTGCTCTCTGTCTCTTTGTGTTAGCTGGGCCACAGCCTGGGACGCTTGCCATAAATCTCTCTGTTCCCTTCCTGCCAGAGGCATATGTTCCTCCTCAGCTCTTCTATAATGGGAAGGTGGATTACTTTGACCTGCAGCGACTTGGTGGACTCCTGTCTCATCTCAAGAAGACTCTGAAAGGTGAGTGCTGGATCGGATCGCTTCACTTTACTGGCATGGTGTGGAGTCCTACCCTTCAGAGATCTTGGTCTAAATCGCGGGGAAGGGCAAGGAGGAGGTTGAGGGCAATGCAGTCTGTGGTAGCTTAGGGAGTAATGGGCATCTCCTTGTCCTTTAACTGCAGTGGGAAGGGGTTGGTTTCTGGGCACCTGGGGAGGGAGGGGCTGGCATTCTGACTACAAGGAGAGGGCTGTCCGTTGGCCAGATTATCATCAATAGTAATGCAGAAAAGGCAGACGTGTTCAATAAATATTTCTGATCTGTATTTAGGGGAAAAAAAACAGATAATGCAGTCTCATATGGCGATGAGAACACTTTCTATTCTATTGGTATCTTGGGAGGATGTTAAATAGATCCTGGGATGCATAAACAGACATTTGTAAATCAGCAGGTCCAAATAACTTGCATCCAAGAGTTTAAAAGAGCTGGGTGAGGAGCTTGCTGGACCATTCATGTTAATTTTCAATGTGTCTTGGAGTACTGGGGAAGTTCTAGAAGAGTGAAAGAAAGCTAATGTGCCAATTTTCAAAAAGGATAAATGGGATGACCTGACTAATTGTGGGCTTGTCAATCTGACATCAATCCCTAGCAAGAGAATGGAGCAGCAGATACAGGACTCAATTAATAAAGAATTAAAGGAGGGTAATATAATTAATGCAAATCAATGTGTATTTAAGGAACTTAAAATATCTCTTTGATGAGATTACGAGTTTGATTGATAAATTTACTAGTGTTGATGTAATATATGTGGACTTCAGTAAGATGTTTGACTTGGTACCATGTCATTTTAATTTAAAAAAAAAATTAGAATGATATAAAATTAACATGGTATACCTTAATGGATTAAAAACTAGCTAACTGATAGGTCTCAAAATGTAACTGCATATGGGGAATCATCGTTGAGCCAGTGTGTTTCCAGTGGGGTCCTACAAGGGTCTGTTCTTGGCCCTACGCTATTTAACATTTTTATCAATGACCTGGAAGAAGACATAAAATCATTACTAATACTTTTGTACATAACATAAAAATTGGTGGAGTGGTAAATAATGAAGAGGACAGGTCACTGGTACAGAGCAGTCTGGATTGCTTGATAAACTGGGCTCAGGCAAACAAGATGTGTTTTAATATGGCTCAATGTAAATGTATGCGTCTGGGAACAAAGAATGTAGGCTGTATGTACAGGCTGGGGGACACTCTTCTGGGAAGCAGTGACTCTGAAAAATCTTTGGTGGTCGTGGTGGATAATCAGGTGAACAGGAGCTCCCAGTCTGACTCTGTGGCCAGAAGAGCTAATGAGATTCTGGGATGCATAAATGGGAATCTCAGTAGGAATAGAGGTTATTTTACCTCTGGATTTGGCACTGGTGCAACCACTGCTGGAATCCTGTGTCCAGTTCTGGTGTCCACAATTCAAGAAGGATGTGGATAAACTGGAGAGGGGTCAGAGAAGTCACAAAAATGATGAAAGGATTGGAAAACCTGCCTTCTAGTGAGACACTGAAGGAGCTCAATCTATTTAACTTAACAGAGAGAAGGTTAAAGGTTGACTTGACCACAATCTATCAGTACTTACATGGGGAACAAATATTTAACAATGGGCTCTGCCGTCTAGCAGAGAAAGGTCTGACACAATCCAATGGCTGGAAGCTGAAGTTAGACAAATTCAGACTGGAAATCAGGCCTACATTTTTAACAGTGAGGATAATTAACTATTGGAACAACTTACCCAGGGGCATGGTGGATTCTCCATAATCTCTAACAATTTTTAACTCTGGATTGGCTGTTTCTTCTTTGAGTGCTTGCTCATATCGATTCCAATTAGGTGTGCGCGTGCCGTGTGCACGATCGTCGGAGAATTTTCTACCCTAGCAACACCGGCGGGTCGGCTGTGGAGCCCCCTAGAGTGGCGCCTTCATGGCGCTGGATATATACCCCAGCCGACCCGGCGCCCCCTCAGTTCCTTCTTACCGCCCCTGACGGTTGTTGGAACTGTGGAGCGCGGCATAGCTGTTCTCCACTCTCCCTAGCTTATTCCGTTTATAGATGGTTATAGTTATAGTTCTAGTTGTATATGGTTAGATAGTTGTTTAAATTAC